CATCTTATGAAATATGATGATATCTAGTCTTGGGCTATTGCGAAATGTCGCTGTTACTTTCCTGTTTAGTTGCATCGTAAGCAACCGGACTATGATCATGTTCCAAAAGCGCATTTTTTTTTTAAATTAAGGTTAATAAGGTTTTAAATGGCTTTCTCCCATATATTTCATCTTATGAAATATGATGATATCTAGTCTTGGGCTATTGCGAAATGTCGCTGTTACTTTCCTGTTTAGTTGCATCGTAACCAACCGGACTATGATCATGTTCCAAAAGCGCATTTTTTTTAAATTAAGGAATGTTGCCATAGCAAACATGACACAAAGCAACCAATTCCTTTTGCCCGATCTGTCTTATGTTCAAAAATAACTACATGTATTATCATATTGATTGTAAGACTTTTTTTCCTCCATAACAGCCACGTTAAATATGAAGATTGATTGATTGTATGTTGTTTTACGGCCCATTCGAGAATTTTTTCACTCAAAAAGAGACGTCACCATATACCGGTGAAGGGCTTCAAATTTTGACGTTTACTTGGTACTCAGGGCCATTGAGCAGTGAGGAATCTTTATCGTGCCAACACCTGCTGTGACACCGTGCCTCGGTTTTTTCAGGTCTCATCCGAAGGACGCGCAACTTTCACTTCAAAGTGCCAAGCGCATGGCGAAGGAACAGTTGCTACCCATTTTTTAATTATCGACTTAAGTCTGTCGCGGCTGGAATTCGAACTCACGACCTCCCGATCACGAGTCGAGCTCTCTACCGACTGAGCTCCTGAACTGAACGGTTTAAATGTAAAGAACTTACATAGAAAGAAACTCACTTGGACGTCACTTTCCTTTAAATCTCAGTTGTTATGCAAACGTTCGTCTTGAAATAACTCCAGTTATTCATCTTTTTTTTCTGTAAAGCTATGTTAATTGTAGTGCCCTGATATTGCAAATAACCATTTAATGCTCAAAACACAGGTGCTGATAAAAGTGATTTAAAATCTTAAGATCAATGTAGAATATTGAAAACTAAAGTACATTGATAAAATGTGTGAAGAGGAAATCTATCTGCACTATGGAGTAGTTTTCTTATTTTAACAATTGCAGGAAATTTGTTCTATTGTAGTTGAAAGGAATTGTTTTGTACAGAAATCAAATTATATAATTATAAGAGACATATTTTTTTTTCAGATAACCTAACTTTGATATGAAATCCGTAACTCTTACCTCATGCAAAGAAACCTTCGCTAGTCATGCGAATTGTTTTATACTTTGAAATTCTATAGAAGTCATTAGAGATAGAGTGGAGACCTTTCGTTATACCTGTAGGAAAGATCTTTCAAAGATAACGCTTTTCTTGACGTTAAGTTTAAAGCCTAGAAAGTATAAATACGTCAAGCAGAACTCTTATTTGCACAGTAAAGGAATATTTGTGCAGTGATGGGAATCGCTGTGACAAAGTCTAACAGAGCGGGGACTTTTACAACATTGTAAGAAAAAAAAAAGAGAAAAAACAAACATTACAACTAAGATAAAATTTCACAACTCTGTAGTTTTTTTTTCCTAGCTTAACACAGATATTTCTTCCTTTCTAATGTATTATTTTACAATGTTGTATATTGTAATAGAAAAATAAGAGTTTTTGTGATCTACTACAATAAATACTTGAAGAATTGGAATTTGTTGTCATATTCATGAGAGTTTTTGTGAAAAGGTCCACTGGATTTTAGGATTCAAATCTTTAGGATGCTACACAAACAGTAAGTACCTCTAAATACACAATGCTTATACAACGTGATTCAAAATCATGCTAGTTTTTCTTTTAATGGAATTATTTATAAGAAGGCAGTTGCATTCTGCAATGAAGAGTCAAAGGTTTCTTGTCTTTGGCTTTCAGGTCGTTTAGAAATATGGTGTCTTGCGAGGGAATGCTCCTCTATAATGCATGTATCCTTGTTTACATAGTTTCCCAAGAATTCCTAAAAGTTCTTACTGTAAGCCACACAGTTATTTTGACTAAATGTGCAGTTAAAACTAATGGTTGTTTATAGAAAGGATAATAAAAAAATCTTATCTATGTTTCAAAATCCGCAAGTTTTGATATACATGTAATATATACCATGACAGAATATAGGTCAATATCAATAAATCTGCACTATTAATTATTAATCAAGGGATGGCCATTTACCGGTATTTGATTTACGGTTGAGGAGGGGGTAGCTAATTTTGTCGAGTCAGGTTATTTACTTTCATACCATTGTAGGACTGAATGTGCATTTCCAAGATCATTATAGACAGATTTTCCTTGAAAAGGTTGACAAGCATGAAAAATCAAAACTACGTAGTGTAAGGGGCGGTTGTACAATGTAGGTATCGCCAGTCAGGGTCAGATTATTTACTTTCTTCCCAGAGGAGGATAGAATATACGTATTTGCAATATTGTCAAGGACAGGTTTTTTTTTTCAAAATCTTCTAGTACCCCTTCCTCTCCCTCACTTTTGAGAATGAAATACGTATCCCCTTCACAAACTGTACATGTACGAGTAGATAACATTCCTTTTATCTTTATAGCGATTATATAACACATTTTATAAATGACATTACAATGTGATAAAAAGAATGTCAGAAAAAACATACCCGGTATACGTAGCCATTTTTTCTTTCAGAATTTAATTAATTCTGTTATATATTCATAGTATTTAATGGTATTCTGAAGTCGGCCTTTGGCACATTTGGTCTGACAGTCAATAGTAAAAGCCTATGTATACAATGTACATGCTTCTTCCAGCGTCGGAAGGCAATGCTCTACACTACGTCTGAAAGCTATTAAATGAATAAAGTTTAATCTCCTCTCTTCCAATAGTTCTTGAAAAGATTTTAAAAGATTCCACTCTTTGAAACTCTGGTGTGTTTACAACTGACACTTTGTCTGGGTTCGAGTCGACGAATGAAAATTACGAATCTGATTTAACACAACTTCAGAACAATGACGCTAAAATGTGATTGCTATGCAAAATAAAGAAAGCAAGTAAGAATAAGGCAAAATTTAAGTAGCAAGCCAGAAAATGAATATTTATTATTTCTGTTAATTCGACCCAACTCTAACTCAGAAGCGCGTTTGTATATTTCCCACATCTTCCTTACGATGGGATAAAAGAGACAGGGCAGATAGTTGAAGTATTGCTTTTATAAAAAAAAAAAAAAAAAAAAAAAACCCTCAAACGAAGGGGCGCGCCTGTACTGGACCCCTATTTATTAATTAAATGAAATTCTATACTTACTGTACAATGAACTTGCAACATGTATTATGCAGTATGCAGAGGTACCTCTAAATATGCATCAAGGGATTGAAATTTATTTAGAATAGCATTAAATATATCACATAATACCATTAAATATATCACATTGAATACATTTAAGTACATGTACATGGAGGTCCATCTTTATACAATCGACTGTACGAGAAATTGATATTTACAGTGACAATGCCTGCTATATCAGTTCTGCCAAAATATGAATAGAATAACGACAACTCAAAGTTAAGCAATAAATGTGTAGATATTCACTTTCCTTGGACAACTCACCTTGAAAAAAAATCTATCACATTTTCTTTGTATGGCATTCCAGAAGGAATATGCAACATTTTATTTGGAAAACAATTTTTACGATTATTTTTTTTTCTAAATAATTAGATCGATAGACTTTAATTGAACAATCATTAATACGTTAACATGCACCTCTATATTGGTGGTGAATAAAATGTGATTGAGACAGACTTTAGATCCGTAATACCGGTCGATTTCTTTGAGAATTTTCTTTTAATGTAAATTTAGTATTAAAATTTTCAATCAAAGGCTGCTTGCCCAATTTTTCGTCTCAGAACTCGGAAACTCTACTAAGCTATTGCATTAAAAAAAAAAAAAAAAAAAAAAAAAAAAAACAAAGAAAAAAACCCAGAAAAACTCAAGTACATATAGGATCCTGACCCTATTCCCATTTTTGGAGGGGGGATTAGGCCGCCTTTTCTCGTTCACATAGGCTTTTGATATTTAGGGATCTCCAAAAAAATATAAATTGACAAAGATCTTTAAAAATACTTTTTCTAAGCAATTCTGAAGTTCAGTGAATGCTTTAAAAAACAACAAAGAAAAGCTTTTATTGATTAGATTATGAAATCTTTGATGAAATGCTTCGATACTTAGAGTATAAAGATATATTAATAGTTTATTCAAGATGACATGGTCATCATGCACATGCATGCACGTGCTTGTAACTTCCAATTTGACCTTTTTTCATTGATCTTAGCCATGTCGTCATGGTCTGATTTAGCATTTCAAGATGTAAAGGATACTGCAAACGAACAAGAACCTTTACAGAGTTTACTATGTATCTGCCATTTATAAAAAAATGTGATAATTAGTTCCCTACCGATGATATCGGAACTATAGATTTCCTTCTTGTCTCTCCGTCTGTCTGAGTCTCACTATTGTCCTACTGTTCTTCAACAGCAGATGTTTTCCCTATATATTCCACCGTAAAACTTTTACCGCCTTATTGCGGCCCCACCATACCCCAGGGACAATGATTAGAAGAAATTGAATCTGCACTTTCTGAGAATTTGCACTTTCTGAGAATTTTTCCATATCAAAATACATTTGCTCTCTTGAGAAAAATAATATTTATATTTTTGTCTTTTATAGTTATGTAAGACTTGCATAGTGTGACCCACTCACCCCTAAGGGTCATAATCTGAACAAAATTGAATATGGTCAGGTGTTCTTAAAAAGAAGATTTTTTATACATTATAATATACATAATTCCTATGCAAATCTTTGATTGCCATTTTTGAACAAACCATAGCTCCGGGTTCATGAATTGAACAAAATTGAATCTACACTATCTACAATGCTTTCATATCAATTTGACTTGCTGTTCATGAAAAGAAGAATTTTAAAGTTTTTTTTCGTATATATATTTTTATGTTAACTTTGATCACCCATTGTGCCCTAAATCTACACCTGTGGGTCATGATTCGAATAATTTGAATCTATCATTATGTAATAAAACTTTCAATTAAGTTTTAACTCTTCTGGTCTGTGTATTCTTGAGAAGATTGTAAAGTTTTCCTCTATATATTCCCTTATAGAACTTTGCTTATTTTGTTCACACCTTACTCCATGATCATGATTTGAAGAAAATTAAATATACTGACAATGATTCCATACCAATATGACTAATCATGCCTTTTCTGTTCTTGAGAAGAATCCTTTGAGGCCCCACCCTACCTACGGGTTCATGATTTGAACAAACTTAAAACTACACTACCTGAGGATGTTTTCTCATAAGTTTCATCTTTCCTAGCCCTCTGATTCTTGAGAATATTTTAGAGAACCTTTCCCAATATATCCCTGCGTAAAAATATGATCGTCCTTTCTGATTCCACCCTTTCCCTTGGAGTCAAGAATCAACAAACTTGAATCTTCATTACCGGGGGAATAATCCTACATGAATTTCCATTGTAACTGGTTCTTTTAAAAGAAAATAATTAAAAAATGGCAATGATTTTTTTTCATTAATTCGTAATTATCTCCCCTTTGGAAAATGACATGACACTTCATTTGAATAAGCTTGAATGGTCTTTACCTAAGGAATACTTTGGTATATATGAGCCTATTAGCTCAAGACAAAATCGAAAAAAAGTAATAAGTTTACAGACAGACAGCCGGACAGACGGACGCCGGACAAAACGTGATCAGAAAATTTCACAATAGCCTTCAGTTTGGGTGAACTAACGAAGAATTGATTGTGTATTTTATCACCTAGCCCAAGACACGACTATGGGTGGGAAGTTTTTAAAATTTTATTTATTCCGTTTTTAATGTTTAGGAAAGAACAAAAGCGCTTACTCTTATTAAAAATTTGATAAGCTGACTGCAAGGCGTCGATGCATAAAGAAAAAAAAAATCATCGAAGGAGCAAAGGAACACAACCATGCTCCAGACTCGGTGATGTGTGGGGTATTTTCAAAACATTTATATCTTGACACATAATGTTTTTATTGAAATATTGAGTGATTTGTTGCATGAGTTAATGAAATGGATTTATCAATTATAATTTTGTTTATTGTTTTCGATCAGCTTCGATGAGTATCGATGGATTGTGGGATTTCCATGGAATGTCCGTTCTATGACTTGTGTAATCTATCATTTGTCTCATCGACGAACTGTCGTATCTATGATTTTTTTGCATTGAGTTGTCATATACCCAAAATGCTTTATTGTTTAATCGAATTTTTGGTAAAATGTTCCTGTACAGTATCAAAAACTCACTCAAATTTTAAACATGGTATGAGAAATTAAAAATTAATAAAATATAATGTAAAACGTCTTATTCAGCATCAAGTTTCTTTCAAAATCAATTGCAGCACTTGGTACAGCATTCAGATCTTTTGAAGATACTGATGAAAATCAGGACAAGAACGTGGAGGAATGAAGCAAGCTGCAAAAAATAAGTATCAATAAATTAAATAAGTTAATAAATAAATCATGATCACTAGTCTATTTTTCACATTTCTATAATGTTAACAAGAATCAACTGACTGAAAATTTAGTCAAAAGCGTTGTCAAATACAAACCAAGTCTTTATTTAAAAAAATACCATTATTACTGCCAAAGTGAGCGAGCAGGTAATTATCATATCAATTTGATACTCTTTAAGGCTCTCATTAGGAAGGTTTATCACACGACTAAAACAGCTCTGAAAAATAAAGAAGAATATAGTTTTAATATATCAAAATAGGCATCAAAATAAAATTTACGACTTTATATTTGACGTACATTTTTACTGCTTTATTTTCAGTAACCAAGGCAACATCATTCCTCCAAATTAAACACCGATATACAGAAATATGTATCTGAGTATACTATCCTAGTGTGCAAAGATATATTGAAATTGGACCAAAACTGGAGGAAGAGTAGCGTATCTTTAGTAACCATGGCAACACTGTTCATTAAAATCAACAAAAGATATTCAGAATTATGTTTCTTTGCATAGTTTACTTGTGCCACAGACAGACAGACGGACGTTCGCACAAGTTCTTCAGGTGTCCGACCAGAAGAGCTAAAAAAATTGAACAAATAATTAACAATTTCAAAAGTTAATCATTATAATAAGCAAAGGTTAATATTTCTGCCACCATTAAAGTTAAATTTGGCAATTTTTTTTGGAATTGTATAGAATTGAATATGTTTTGTGTAAAAAAAAAATCTAAACTCATAAAAAATATTATAGAATCGAAGTAAATTATATTCAATTTTAGTCGCTGTGACATTAAAAACTATGTATTTTTCCTATTAATTTAAAAAAAAAAAAAGAGGACAAAACAGACGACCATTGTTCAATTTAGACCATAGCATATACAGAGTGCACACTTAAACTGTTTAGGTACAATATTCACAATCATTGGAATACTATTAAAAGGTCTGTTAATTACTCTTTTGTGGCTTTCAACTCAAAATTTAAAATATATCGACGACGTATTTCATTTGAAATTGTTGCTTTCAATTAATGACTCAATATATCCAAGTATCCAAGTTCGAAATAAAAGACACTATATATAGAGTTTGCCACAGCTCGATGTATTACTGACTAAAAATGATAATGGCCAACTAATTACTAAAGTGTATAACAAATGGAATGACTGCAGCTTTGCCATCGTCAAGTTCCCTTACAGGGAACTAAAATTTTAAACTTAAACTTCCCCGTTATATTTCCAGGGCACTGTTTTTTTTTCTACGTTTTCTATGCACGATTCACTATGCTTCATGGAATTTGGAGATTAATAACTATTTGTTATTTTTGCCTTTTACATTATGTCTGTGGCAGAATTCCAAATGTAAAAAGAATATACACATTCTGAGGAAAGTATCTTAGAAATTCTTCCCAGAGGGATATTTTTTTTTTCTCAAGTTAAAGTTTTGAAACTTATTTATATTGCTCTACTTTATTGAAATTTTTTGGAATGCATATTTAATACGTTATAAAATCGATAACATGTCGTTAGGACGACATAATAAGTTGTAATTGCAACGTTTATTTGTTTTGTTTTGTTTTGTTTTTTTTGTTTTTTGTTAAACGTCTCTTCGAGGATTTTTTCACGCATATTGAGTCGTCACTACTGCATAAAAATAGATATATCACAGTAGAAAATATCTTTAAAGATCATCTTCCCAAGAACAGGTAAAATATTTACAAGAAACGGATCTTTACAGTAAAATTTAGAATTAAATAATTAAAACAATTTTGATGAGAAATACATAGACCAGTTTAATTTCTAACAGTTAAAATATACTGTAGATTCCGAAATATACGCGAGGAATAAATTATCGCGTAATTACGCGTGAAGCACCACTCGCGAAATAAGATTTCTCGCTTTTATTTTTATTGTGCTTTAATGTATGTAAAATCTCTAGATAAATCACCCCTTTGCGAGTTATTGTTCTCGTGATTTAACGCCCTTGAGCCATTTTGCGATATGAAGTACTCGCGTAAAATAAGGAATCTACAGTATTTATATTTTATGTCCGTCGGATGGGATATTAAATGGCGCCCCGTGTCAAGGGTTACATGTACAAACCCCTTGGCACATAAAAGATCGTTTCTCTGGATTTCGAAAAAGACTAGGCTAACTGAAGGCCACCAGAAGAACAAAAACGTTCCAACACGGATTAAATAAACTAAATTATCCGCTGAAAAATGGCTGAAATATTGTCAACTCGGCTTTAAACAATAATAAATCAATCAATAATGACACTTCCAAGAACAGCAAATCAGTGATTGGTTATATTAATTCAGAAGCACCAAGATTTCCGTAAATGAAATGTAATATCTCAAATTTAAGATTAAGTTTAAATACTTTCGTACGTGTAACATGTATAGGGTTGTAGTATGACTTATGATGTTGTTATATACTGCATTGCCAGAAGTGACACCAATTGTCTACGGAGGCAAAGCCCTAAGATAGGAAAGGTAAGAAATGTATATCTACATATTGGAATTTAGGGTCAGGGAAATAAAATGTAAGGAGTTTTACTCTTTGTTGGAGAATAAATTAACTCCACATTTTCACCAAATTACAATATGGTGGAGATTATAAAAACCCAGCTATCTTGCCCTGATCGAAACTGTTTCAAAGTATCACATTTTCTTCCTACGCTGCATGTTACGGGTCCCAACGAATTCCGAGAAGAGGATAAATAGCTCAAAATTCATTCCTAGTATACTATATATGTACATTTATAAACTTTAAAAGAGTTTTAAGTGGGTGGAATAAAATGAATAGTAAAAACCAACAGATACACATAAAACGTCAGTGGTGGGTGAAATTTCATTCTGCGGAATTCAGGGATTACCACGAATGAAGAATTCCCTTATGCTCAGTGGATCAAAACACTGAGTTATCTACTTTCAGTATTGAGGAGAATTTGATGGTTACCTCAGCGGTACAAGTACCTGAGGGACCAACTTGATCCATGGGGGTTCCAAGGGTAAGCTTTGAGATTTAAATCCCTGAAAGTATTATCCCCATGTAATTGCTGTATATTAGGGGAGGCAATTATATAGTTAGAGCCCGTGTAAGAATTTGAATTTATCCATTTGATGTGGCAGGTAGCGTTTTCTGGGTTTCGCATACATTTATGTATAAATAGATTGTAAAAAAACGCTTGCCATTTTCATCAATAACGTTAAATTAATAGTCATTGCACCTGGGATTAAAAAGTTCTTATAACGACATACCTATCATAATAACGAGATAATAAGTTGTACGAAAAGGAAGTTAAGTATTTTATACCAGAAAACAACACTTACTCTTATCTTACTTACTCTTTTCTAGTATGTGCAACTTGTTTTGTCATTATTTCGATCTAATCTGTCGTTCCTACGACTTAGTATATCTTTTGTAAGACATGCAAAATATAAGTTAATTAACAGCAATTTGCTTAAGTAAGGAAAAGGTTCGAATTTGAATAAGATAAATTTGCAGTGTGTCATTAATTAAAACAATGATAGGAATTTATCATGTGAAAAAAAAATACATGTATCAAGAATGCTTATCTTTATGAAACCCATCTACTCAGCTTAGACAATACACAGAGATGAAATATATTTCAATTGATTACACTTGCATGAATATTTTAGATTTATTTATTAACGATGAGTTTTTTCATTTATTTCATGAGGTTATTTCAGGATAAACATTATATTCTAAAATTTACGTCTTTGTATGATCCAGCGCTGACAGTAGCATGACAACTGCTAGTTGCATTGACGTAGTCTTCTTCAGTGACATCTTTACAACAGGTTTTCGGAATTTGAGAGTTTGTCTGTTGACAGGATCCGGATATTGTACACCAGGGGGTCTTGTCAAAGTCATTAGTTGTGCCCAGTACCTGGTTTACAGCGCAGCAGTCGTACTGGATAAAATAAAACATGGATCAGGTATCAACTCTCCGCAAAGTATATTAGAATATTTTTAAAGGAATTTAGACTTTGATGCTATAAAACAACTCGAAGTTTTTTTTTTTTTTTTGCCCTCATTGATTGGCTAATGTCAAAAATTGAACATTATGTGCCCTGGAAAAGAAGTTAATAATTATGCATGAGAAGTGGAGTATTCTCTGTTCAAATTGTTCTGAAACAATGCCAGGTATGAACTATATTTGAGATTTCTCTCTCTCTCTCTTTCATGTAAAAGTCGTACAAATTGCACATAAAACTGCACATTGCCCCCCCCCCTACTAAATAATAGGTGACGCACAAAAGTAGGAGTTCACAACTATTCGTACCTCCAATTTAAGAGAGTGTTAATTTAATTTTAGCCTGGTATTTAGCTCTACTGGTCAGAAATCGGAAGAGCTTATGCGATAGTAAGGTGTCCGTCGTCCGTCTGTCTGTCTAGCTGTCCATTTGTCGGTCTGTAAACATTTTTTCAAAATGCTATTCTTACAGTTTTTGTCTGATTTCAATATCACTTGGCACACAAGTAGATTACACTAAGATACATAATTCCATATATAGATTTTTGATTTCGATGAACGGTATTGCCATTGTCACTAAAAATAGAAATTTCGGTTAAAAACATTCAAAACGGAACTCCACCTAGAGGTCTAGTCTGATTTCAATATAACTTGGCACTCTAGTAGACTACACTAAGATACGTAATTCTGTATATTGGAGAAGCGTTGCCATGGTTACTAAAAATATAATTTTTGTGAACTGTCCTACAGTTTGGTCTGATTTTAATATACTTGACATGTAGAGTACACAAATGAGCATAATAATTGTCTTTTTCGATTTTTGATGAATGATCTCCTTTCATAGTTACTTAAAGTAGAAATTTCCGTAAAATTCTTTCAAAAGGCTTCTTTTCTTGGTTATTTGCAAAATTATTTGTTAAAACGCTATCTGATTATACATATTTTTTGATTGGCAATATTTATGTAGTTTTTGGAGATCAGGTCTTCCAACAATCTGTGGGAATTACCATGGGTACTGATTGCGCCCCCTTATTAGCAGATCGATCAATCAAGATTACGCGTCGACCAATCAGCATGCGGGTTGGCATTTCGCTGTAAAGCAAAACACTGTACACAGACTGTAAAAGTTATGTTTGTTTATATACAATTTTATGGTCGATATAATGACCTTGTTAGCAAATTCAACCAATCCTCTCAGTCAAATGCTAACTGACGTTTTTCACACTAATTGTTAGGCCATTATTTACACACTGACATGCTACAGATTTTCCCTTTTCCCGATCATGAAAAGGAACAAACGGCGGGTGTGACTCGTCGGCAAGGGATGCTCACTCCATGGCCCCTGACCCCGCCTCCGTTGTTTTTAAGGTCTGTGTTTGCTCTGCTCCCTATTTGTATTGTTTAAATGGACTTTGAGCTTGAATACTGTACGTTATCTCCATATTTCATCTCCTACAATTTAAATCTACTTGCAATAAATCTTGCCACAAAAAGAGATTTAACAAATTATCATTATTCCATTCATTGTTGTTGCAAAGTTTTAAGTCCAAGTGCTACTCTTCTCTTCATTTGTTATAAATACAAACCAGTATAGCTAGAGTCTTGTCAAAGACTTCTGGTTCCTCGATATTACGGCTCGTTTATAGACATAATGGTTGATTACGGATCAACCCAAGCTTCGAACCGAACTATGGAACCGGAAAGCTCGCATTTCCGACCGCAAAAAAAGAGTTACATTAAAGGTATACTTCCCACCAATTTCGTAGTCATGTTTTTCTCCGTGGAACTCAGAATCGTGATTAAGACGATAACCCTGATAACGGTACTTGATACTCTTTGTAATTTCAATAAAAATACTCAAAAGAACAATGTATTTCAAGGAAATTAATTTCTAGTTTCAGTAACCATGGCAACACCGTTCATCGAAATCAAAATCCTATACACAGAATAATGTATCTTAGTATAGTCTACTTGTATGCCAAGTTATACTGAAATCAGACCAATACTGTAGAAGGAGTAAGGTTTTGAAAGCATTTCACAGAAATTTCTATTTTTAGTTAAAGGGGCAACACCGTTCATCGAAAGCAAAAACCGATACACAGAATTATGTATCTTATCTTATGTATCGATTGATACAACCTTATTGAATATATGTTAAGATTAAGAGTTACCAATTTCTTCAATCAAGACTAATACTTCTTGATAGTTTATTCAGCCAGCCTTTTAGCTACACTTATTAAAGTTCCAAACAATTTGAGGAGAGTGTTGCAAAAATGAACTGAATCGTATAATGTACTTACCAGAATAAAAAAAAAAGCTGATGAAAGCCAACTATTATTTAACCATTTATGATAAAATATATTTGAATACATACATATGTAGAGCATTACCTTGATAAAAAACTTGTTCCATCTGTCTGACATTGTATTACCGCGTGTGATTTCATCAGAAGTAAAATTTTGTGCCAAGGAGTTAAACATCCCTTTCTTTAATGGGCCATAATCCTGGACAGTAAAAGCAAATATTTTCAATTGAGATGATCTACATGAAATACTTGTTAGTTGCGTAAATGCGATTGGATTAATTTAACCTTCAAAATGTACAATTGTATATTTTTTCGTTTGTTTTTAATCTGAGTAATGAACATTGTTACCATAGGTTTTTTTGATGTTTTGGAATCCAGCAATTGAATTGTGAAAATAAATAGAGGAACAGCTATCCCAAGACATAAGAGGACATACTATGATAGAAAAAAGGAAATTAATTAACTTTACTAAAAGGTTGAAAAATTAACATATTGTTTACACGTTAGAACGAATACAGTCATTAATCGATGCTTCAAGTAATTAAAAAAAACTTACCAAAACATAATATGTAATCAAACAGGCGTTTTCCAATTTTCCGGTTGGCAAACGAAGGAGAAGACAAAGGGGACTGACTGCAACAGAAACACATCCTAGTATGAGAACGGTTTTAATTTTCTCCCTTGCGTCATCATAAGAGCAGGAAACAAAGGAATCCATATTCAATATTTCTAGTGCTTCTTTTTTTTCACAGAGCTTGGCTTTTCTTGCTATCACACACCATGTTACTAATATAATCGAAGTAACCTAAATAGAGAAATAGTTGCAATTCACGTCTTTCATTACACGTACCTGGTTAAGAAAAGTTACTAATCAGAAGTCTAAGAATACTTCACAAAAATTACTACTCATGTGGAATTAAACATTCGTTTTCTTCTATAATAGCAGCGGATACTCCCTCCACACCCCTCCCTCTTCCACAACTTGTAAATAATACAGACTTGTCTACTTTCGTATAAATTACTATCTCATAAAACAACTAATACGTTGAAATAATCTTTAGTTTCTTTTTTTTTTTTAATTTTATATTCATCAAAACCATGATAGCAATAGTGAAAATAGTTTTCTCAATTCATTTTCATAAAAACTTTCAAACTTATGTATTGGAGAATATGTCTACGTAAGGGTTAATGTACGAGTAGCGCTCCTTTCCTTAAAAGTAATGGAGCCCAGGCGCCAAAGGGGCCGAGACCAATTGCTTTTAAGGAATTGAGCGCTACGAGTATATTAACCCGCGTAAAATCCACCTTCTTTAATGCTTGTAATTATTGTTTGTTAATATATAATAAAGAATATTTACAAATTATACTGTAAATATAAATTTAACATACTAGTAGTATTTATATATATAGAGAGAGAAAGTAAGGCGAAAAAAGTCTTCTGAAGTTATTTAAATCCGCTGTCATTCAACAGCTTCGATAGCGTAGTGAGACGAGTACTTGACTGCGAAGGTGAAGGTACCGGGTTCGATTCTGAGCAGTGCCACATTTATTTTCTTTATTTGAAAATAAACTTGTTAAAATTTTCTAAGTTCTATCCTTGTTAGAGGTACGGGAAGAGTTTTCCATGTAATTTACAACTCTCCATTCCTGAAAAATAATGGAGCGCTCAAAGAAAAGAGTGACGTCACAGCTGGAGTTTACTTTTAGGACAATAACCTATTCCATACTGTCTATATAACGGATATTAAGGGGGCTTAATATATATTATATGAAGATTGCACCCCCCCCCCTCCCCACACACACAAATGTTCATCATAGATCGCTCAATACTGATATTTTTTTTAGTGAATATCAATCTTTGTTTTACCTTAAAAATTAGTTCCTACATAAATCTATATTAAAAAATCTAACATTTCCAATGTTTTACAAAGAGGTCTTAAAAATCGATATTTGACAGCAGAGTAAAATATTGGGCTTGTTGATGAGATATTGGACCGCTTACGTCACACTGTGGGCGGGATCAGCTAATTATAAATCTATTAGCATTCGTTGGTGCTGAATGAAATTTACATCATGAAAGCCAGCACAAGATACAGATATGTCAGAAATGTATAACATTTATTGACTGCGTTCTCGGGCAAAATGCATTTTGTAGACCCCTCGGCTTCGGACTATCGGCCTCAGGCAAACATCTTGCATTTGTTGAATGCAAACATTTAGTCACACTGGAAGAAAATATTCTAATCACCTTTCAAATTCAGCGAAAAGTAACATAAAGAAAGCATTGACATTATACAGAACAATAATTGCGATATAATATGAGCACATTAAAATCCCGTTTAACAATTTATTCTTCCATTTTAAATTCGGAAAAGTAAATGGGGATATATTTGTACAAATATAAAAGCAACACATTTACCATCATTCCTATTGTCAGAATCAATAACGCACAGCTTGCTTTCTCTTCCATCTAAAAAATATAAGAGCATTATTGAATAAATGTGTGATCTTTGTAACAAGGGGCATTGTTATATTCAATTAAAAGAATCATCTTTGTAACACAATAATTATCACATGACAATTGGTGACTTTTAACCTTTTCAATAGTTTTTTCAATGTCGTTCTGACTTCCTATTTGTTTGCCTTTGTCATTCTTGTCTTTCTAGAAAAAAAAAAAGAGAAAGAAACAACGTATGATTTTAAAAACGCTTTTGAGTATCTGAAAAATTCAATTTGTCAAATGACAATAAACAAAACCGGTATTCCTTGTGACAGAATCGTTACAGATGTTTCCTAAACGGCTTCCCACTACCTTATGATACCCGATTCCTTACAAGCTTTATTATTGCTTTTTTGAAACCAGAGTATATTTTCTGTTCGATATAAAATTGAAACAAAGCAAGGTGTACATTTAAATATGGGTATATTTAGTCCCTTTATATGAGGGAATAAATTAATGAATCTTAATTTGATTGACGATAAAATGGAATTATACCACAAATTTATTTAAACTTTATACACACATAATTACTAGAGTATAAAATTAGATATGAATTATTTTACAGACATCGTTAAAATCCACCTGTGGCGTCACTCTTTTGTTTGAGCGCTCCATTATTTTTTAGGAAAGGAGAGTTGCAAATTACATTGTTCATATTCTCCTTCCCGTACCTCCAGTGAGGAAAGAACTTAGAAAATTTTAACAAGTTTATTTTCACATAAGGAAAATAAATGTGGCACTGTTTTAATCGAGCCCGGTACCTTCACCTTCGCAGTCAAGTACTCATCTCACTACGCTATCGAATTTGCAAAGCTGTTGAATGAGAGCAGATTTGAATAACTTCAGTACACCTTTTTCGCCTTACTTTCTCGCTATATATAAATACAACTAGTAAGTTAATTGTATATTTACATGTAATTTGAAAATATTCTTTATCATATATTAACAAACAATAATTACAAGCATTTAAAAAGGTGGATTTTACGCGGGTTAATATACTCGTAGCGCTCCATTCCTTAAGAGCAATTGGCCTCGGCCCCTTCGACGCCTGGGATCTAATACTTTTAAGGAATGGAGCGCTACTCGTACATTAACCCTTACATAATGAAATTATAAGTTTACACATTTTAACTGTCTGGAAATGAAACTTTTTATTTCCAAAAATAAAATAAGACTGTTTCTAAATTGAAACCATTATACACACTTATTTTCAGACAACTGCAGTCTCCCTAAGAGCGAGGACAATATGGAAAGTACTTGTCACTAATTCTAATCACTTGTCTACGTTTTTCAGCACGGACAATACACCGGGTCAGTAATTATTTATACGTTTATCAGCACCGACTAAGATTGTCAGCACTTTTCTCACTTTATCAGCACCAGCAGTTAAAAGGTCAGTAATTGTCTAAGTTTTGAAGTAAAAGGGGAACATTGATAGTAAGTGTTTAAGTTTGTCAGTAAAGTGGGAATGTTAATACATTTCTGATTTAGTAGTGTCTGTACTTATGGTTACGTCACTTAAGGTTTCCATAAGCAAAAGACTATATTTAAATTGAATCTAAATCCTGATATTAAGTGCAAAAAAAACCAAATTTTAGGTACAGATTTTAGGAAATGCTATGAAAAAATACATGGCGGCGTTTTTTTTTTTTTTTTTTTTTTTTTTTTTTTTTTTTTTTTTTTGGTTTTGTTTTTTTTTTTAATCATCTTAAATACTTAAGTGGGTTACAAAATACCAAAATGAAAGGAGGAGGATGAAATGATCAAATAAGCGAAAAAAAAGTAAAGTTGTTCTGAAGAATAAATTACGTCTACACTGATGAGTACAGGAGGTCCTGAAAGTTTCATATTAATCTGAGCAATACTTTCGGTTTTATGAATATTTAAATTTTTCCTTATGAGTTTTTCTATATTAGGAATGGGACTTTTTCTTTTAAAATAAACAAGATATTCTTATGAAATTATGAGCATAGAATTGCTCTGCGAATGTTCCGACTCCATTAGGTTCTGAAAAGGAAATTCGGAAAAAAAATAAAGGATTTTAAGGGAAAACAGACCTTTGTCTGTAACTATTTTTTTTTTTTATTTTTCAAAGAATATTCAAGCAGTTATCGATTCTCAGTTCAGCATAAAGAGTGCAGTGTAAAAATTATGACCCGTGGGCCACTTTTTGATCCCTCATAGGATTTTTCGAGGATTGAAATATGCAACTTTTCATTTTTGTCAAAAATCATTATGCAAGAGATTTTTTCCCTTCGCAAAGTTCCTCATGGGTATTCATACTCTTGATGTTTCAATTATTATTAATATCTGAAAAGGACTTTTTTTTTCTTTTTTTTAAAGAGTTTTTGACTATTGCCTATTGATATTTCTATGTTAAATTGAAATCACGCATGGCACGCTTTCTCTTATAGTTAACAAGATATTTTTGTGAAATTCCAAGTGTAGAATGACAATGATATTGTTCCAACTTAAAGTTAAGAAAATGAAATTTGGAAAAATAAGGTAATTCAAGGGGCCAACTTTGAAAAGAGACCTTTGCTCTACTCTTCAGGTTTTCGTTTTAATATTGATCTCGAAAGGACTTTCGGTTTGGTGAACCCTATATTTTTTATTTTATTTTATTTTGTTTCTATTATGTAAGAAGTGACGCTCTTAAAGTATCCTAATTTTTAAAAGTTTGCAAATCCCTCAGTTTTTGTTGAACGACAAAAAGGTCTACTTATTATTAATATAAATGTGACTTTTTTTTCATCACGGATTTAAATTCTTTAAGTTATATATATATATTAGGGATGTCAGATCGGTCAATTTTTGATAATCGGTTACTCGGACGTTTTTCCGATCGAGTACCCGGGTACTCGGTAAAAATGTAAAATTTATTAATACAAGTGTGTAATTTTCTAGAGCCACGTTAAGCTCGATCAAATCCCAAAGCTGTTTTTATCACGTTTATAAACGTATATAAACATAGATTCCAACGGAAATGATTTTATGGTACTAAATTTATTTATCGAATGAATACAAAAGAAACAATTAATACATGAAAAATTACAATTGGTTTACAGTTCTTGTTTAGGATCTATATGATCAACGCAAAAGTAGGACAATCTGTGACGCAGGTTTATGATGATTAAACTGGGGAAAGAGAAGGAAGGACGTTGTTGGGATCGCTAGTTTAATATTTTTTTTTTTTTTTCATATGATGGTTGTTTCCACGGTATACACTAAACCTACTGACTTTCAACATTTTTTTTAATCTTTCGTTATTTCTAAATATTTCTTCACTTTTGGGTAGCG